GGTATTATTTAAGTAGTCCTTAATTATGGATGAGCGTCAATTGGCGTGAACCTACGTGAGGAGAGGACCTCTTAAGTCAACGAGTATCGTTCGCCCAGCAGTTTAGAATCCAATTATGTCTCTCAATGACATTATTGAACCTTTAGAAGGTGGCAGTAACGTAGTAGACCCGCCGACTACTTCTGTAATTTCCAGCGCTTCGACTGTACCTTCGGCCGTCGGGACGGTCTCAACCTTGGCAGTTTCGAGGACCAACGGAACTTCTGTGGTCTCCACAGTTTCAGCAGGAGCTCCTCAGCCATCCGTTGTACAACCAGCAAAGAAAACTGAAACACAGGTTTCCGAGGTATGTGTTGACAGTGATTCGTTTTTGCATGGGTCAGCTTAATTTTCATAGTTTGCTATGTACGGCAAATCTAATGTCACGTAGGACGAGTATCGTTAGCTTTTTTAGTATCGGTGGCTTTTCTATTGGGTCAGTACTGTATATTTATTAGCCGAATAATTTTATCAGTGAAGTTTTATGTCGAAAGAACTTATTATTGTAAATTTTGCCATTGTGCGCACATTGTTTAAAACTTTTGCTCGTTAGTTCTTTTGTGTATTAGCTTTTGCTTTGCCCAGTATTGCTTTAGTGTACAAATTTTCGAGCGTACAGTTTAATAGTCAACTTTAGATATTTTGGTTCGATGACTATGTACAAAAGAACGCACGCGAGGCTCCGGGGAAACAATGGATAATCTTGATTTATTCTTTTATTTCCCCGGAGCCTCATCTGCAATTCTTTTGTGCATGGTCACTGAGACAAAATATCTAAAGTCGACTATTTAAGCGTATGCTCTCCCAAGGGTAATTTATCCTGTTCTCTCGCGAATGATTTAAGATAAAGCCCGTAAGGCAGTACCCGATAGGTCGGGTAGAGAGAAATTTAAGGGAAATTGAATGCCTGAGATTTAATCCCGAAAGGTCGGGTATGTAAAAGAAAAGAGGGGCCTGAACCTGATAGGTCAGGTTGAGATACCAAAGAGAAGGACTGGACCCGAAAGGTCGGGTAGAGAAAATTAATTGATATGAGAATATAGAATCGAAAGGTTGATGAACAATAGTGATATGAGAACATAGAACCGAAAGGTCAGTGTGAACAAAAGTGATATGAGAACATAGAACCGAAATGTCGGTGAACAAAAGGGATATGAGAACATAGAACCAAAAGGTCGGTGAACAAAAGTGAGATGAGAGCATAGAACCGGAAGGTCGGCGGAGAGCACTGGAGAAGTATTTCTGATGTAAATTAATAGTTTCGATTCATTTCCCATAGGTGGAAAAGTTAAGGAAAGATTTGGAGGACATGAAGAAAAAGGCAGGGGCAAAAACCGTGGATGGGGCAATAAGCACCTTGCAAGCGCTAGTGGGCCGCCCAACAGCACTTTTTGATGCTTATGCGGCCATGGCAGCCTTAGAAGAGGTGGTGGCGACGGCGCAGAATCTAACTGATGATAGGACCACCAAGTACAGCATTATCTTGAGAAAGTGTCGCCCTTTGGTGGGCGAACCGGCTCTGCAGCAAATCCTCACGAAGCTAGTGGCTAGTAAAGAGGAGGCGGAAATCGCCAAAGCAATTGACAAAACCATACGACTGCAATGTCCCAGCCCAATGCCAGACTCGATGCCATCACCACGATTTGCGTTTGCTGGGCGAACGAACAGGCAGGCGCCATACCGCCGCCAAAGAGGCCCGAGGAGATGCTTTGTTGGCAACCAGGAAGGACATATTGCTCGTTTTTGCCCCCAAAATTCCCTTACTGTGAAACGCCGCTAAAGGCGGTAGATAGAGGACCGGCCCGGCCGGTGGAATAAAGGATACGAGTGTGCTGATTTAATTGTAAAGAAAATTGATTGAATAAACATATTATAACTTACAGTTAACGTAGCTCTGTCTGAAATAAAGTAGTAATTTAAAGGAACAGTCAACACCCAAATTTTGTCAATTCTCAATCAA